AGAACGGATACTCAGGAAGACCTCCGAACCAGGATAAGGTGGCAAACCATTGGGAGCACCCTTAAAAAACATTTTAGATAATTTGTGTTTGTGGGATGGAATGTAAAGGTTCAAACATCGTTACGAAACACCTGATTTTCGTATTCTCATGCATGTAATTATTTCTAACGTATTCAGTATGCTATAAGTTCCTACCCACCATTCCACTCGAAGAACGAGACAATAGATGAGTGGTGCTCTGTGCAGGCAACTAATTGCGACTATTAATATTACATAATATTGGTCACAACGATGGAAGATGTGCTGCCGTTTGTTGTTGTAGTCTATCTATGTCTAGCATATCTCCATAGATTTTTCATTTTTAAATGGGTATCGCAAACCAGCAGCTTCTACCCTTGACGCAGGTGATAACTCCATGTATTTAACTCGTTCCTCATCTCGCACGTATCGCCGTGTCAGTTCGTCGAGTTGCTCTTGAATGTTTCTTCGATTTGACGAACGAGACGATGTCTTGGTTAAGATCGAATGCACAAACTCAGTGACGCTCCAGTCGTCTTATACTCTTTCTGCACTCGCTCGTTCACCCTGTGCTGGTTGCAATATGCTCGGTATATCACCTCGCAACTCTGATATCACCTCAACTTGTGTTTTAACTCTTTTATTTACTGTCTTTTTCTTCTTAATGGCAGGGTATGTTGTGAAATATAACTCGTATGAAATGCTGAGATATCTGCAAAACTCCGGACCACAGGTGTATGCAGTGGGGAACGAACACGCGCTGTTGTCCTTACCGGGGAGCAGCGCACTTCACCACGACACCATCCGGGTCCTTCGCTTTGCATGTATCTCAGTTAGTTCTATCGATCTTTTTTTGTGTTGTGTTTTTCTGTTGTGTTTTTTCTTGATCCATTTTGAATTAGTTTAGCCGCCCAGGCTAAAGTGTTTTCATTTGAGAACTTCAGCTTTAACTTCTTGCCGTCCGTTGTTTGAATGCACAAAACTACAAATCAATAAATCTAGTAAATTATTTATAAATTAGTAATTTGGAATAAATCTCCACTTTTCTTGCAACGCTCTATAACCGCATAAGTTGACTCTGCTTGGACGAAAGACTCGCAAAGGAGCACACCGTTCCGATAAGACTTTTGTTTTAACCATTATTTTAAGGTGAAGGTAGATACGAGTAACTTATGGACTTCAATGGGTAAATCGTTTCCGTGGCAAAACATCTGTGGCGCGTCTCGGCCAAAGTGCCTTCAGCAAATGCCTTGCTATTGTTATTGTAGTGCTTACTCTGTAATTCAGCTTTCTATCTTTTTGTTGGTGATCAATAGGGTTTTTATATCCTACATTCCCTCCATGTTGTTCTCTAACTTGTTTCTTGGTGTTTTTGGAAGATGTCCAACTCTTGTGCATAATTACATGCCCACTTCGGTGATTGGATGACCCGTCTTTACTAGTTGTGCACGTCCCAGCAAAGTTTCCATTTTTTCGGAGTCCTACTACATTAACAATTGTGATTTGCCGAAGCCTCGAGATCAATCAAGCCAAATTCTGCTCCAGGTCGCCACCACCACAGGCAGTCGCCGCCCTTGTGGATCACAGAGAGATTTGCCGCCATGCGATTTTGATATCAGCGCAGTGGTGGATCTTGATATTGGTTTGTTCTTATCTGAGTTTCATAATAGAAACGTATGTCTTCTTCTCAGCTTGGAGGGCCCCACTGGTGGAATGATTCCTTCCGCTGTACCTCGCAGCCTGACACTTAGGAATACTTCACAATCAGAATGAGGCGGCAAACCGTTAAAAGCTATTTAGAATATAGATGAATTAAATGTATAAGTAAGCCTATACATCCTAAGAATCCAAAAATGAGCTAAAGTACGAGTGCCTTGCTATCCTGCGTAACCTTTCGCCATACCTGAGGCTGATTTTATGACCTGAGCCAAGCACATCCCTCAGCGGTGTAAAACTCTGTGGTCTCTATCAAACAATTGTTTGTCAGAGTGGAAGGCTTCAGAAAAACAAAACGGCGAATGTTCAAAAAAATTTGTTTACTATGGGTATAAAATTTATGTATTTAGCTTCATCTGCTTGAGTTATGAAGCCGTTTGGCAGAATAGACTGGGTGACAGTTTGACCGTTCCAGACTTTGAAGAACTCAAATCACCTAAACGCCTATTTGCATTGCACAAATCTTATTATTAACAACGTTATGCCTGCGCATGAAGTAAACACTGACTTATTTAGCAATGTTGATGGTAATAAAAAGTTGGTCCAAGAAGTTATTATACACATAGTCTCAAATCAGGATAATATGTGAACAAGAAGTATGTTTGAACTCGTTTGGAGATACCTCCTACAAATGCACCTATGTCATCCTCATAGTAAGCCACCCTTCAGTATACTCTGGTCTCATGCTTCATCAGTGGCTGCTTCATCACACCCTGCCGTGAAAAATTGTAACAGGCAGTAAATAAAAGTCAACATTATTAAGTTTCAGATTTAAATTCCAGTGGCAGATTTGGCTGGACTATTTTCTACTGTGATGTTTTTCTTCAATAAGCAGACACGAGGTTGTTAATATAAAATTTATTAGAATACAATAGCTGACGTTTCGGCGGTTTCGCCTTCTTCAGAGCCTGGAAAGGTCAATTTGAGATGCAGCCTACTTCTATTTTTATCTATTTCTATGGAAATAGAAATGAAAATAAAAATGCCATCAGACACTCAACGAGACGACGACGACGATACGACGCCAGCTAGTTCGTAACCGTAACCGTAACCGTAACTCTGAAGAAGGCGAAAGCGCCGAAACGTCAGCTACTGTGTCCTAATAAATTTTATAATACCAACCTCGTGTCTGCTTATTGAAGAAAAACATCACGGTAGGAAACAGTCCAGCCAAATCTCCCACTGGAATTTAAATCTGAAACTTAATAATGTTGACTTTTATTTACTGCCTGTTACAATTTTTCACGGCAGGGTGTTATGTGTGATACAACCACAGTGATGCTGAGATATTTGCAAAACTCCGGACCGCAGGTATCTGCGGTTGGGAACGAACGCGCTATCACCCTTTCCGGGGAGTGGTGGTGAAGGCGTTAGAGCTGTTCCCAATGCAGAAGTTGTAGAAATGTTTCTACTTGAGCATTAGATTTCGGCATTGAGGAGGAAAGTTCTACTATGACAAGGTGATAAACAATTAAGCAAACTTGCTCAGAGTGGTTCGGTGTTCACAAGGTGTGCGTACAGTATGGGCATGTTTCAACACGTTTTTCTCCTAAATACAGTACGAATGTTGGATAAATTGGTTATTAAGTGCGTATAGAGAACATTTCTCGTGAAGTATTCTACACCTTTCATTTTAGTATTATTTGTAGTAATTATGCACCTGTTTTTCTACTAGTTATTGCTGTCCTCTGAGCGGTTTAAGGCATCATCGTGGCTGTGAGGTTTCTGGCTGTCCGGCTGCGATGGAGAACAATAGATGGCTGGGCGTAGAACTACAAACTTGAAGTTTTAGAACGAGAAACTAAGTACCTAATCCTATCTTTTCGACCACACACTATAGTTCCATCTAAAAATCTTATTCTGCAAACACACTTGTTGAAGCAAACGCCATTTTACACATTGCATCCAGCTTCTCTTTGATAATGAAAGAACAAGGCATATTGTAGGAAAAAACAAGTCAAGATGCATGCATGCAAGCACATGCACACACACACACACACACACACACACACACACACACACACACACACACACACACACACACAGCGACAGATATCAGTAATGTACTTGAGCTAAATAAGCTAAACAACTGAACATGATACATTCATTACTTTATTAAGCATCAGAATTCTATACACCACAAGTGATTGAACTCATAACAACAATAAACACTGCTACAATTGTTTTTGTCCAATGGCACAAATAAATAAACAAATTCGCAAGCAAGCAAGATAGACATTCTATTCACATGTGAAACATGAGATATTGAAATCATTAAATGATACCAAGCTACCGTGTCATGAGCATGATCTGTGAAAATAAGGTCATCAAAGAACGAAACATTTTTCAAAAAAAGAAAAAAAAAAGACAGGAAAAGTGAATTTTATGAGAAACAACAAACAAACATGAAACCAGAATTAGCCGTAAGGACGTGAAAAGAAAAAGACACGGTTGTAGGCGACGACGAAACATATTACACCTAGTGCTTATAGACATTTATTCGAATAAAGAACTCAATCTGGACATTGAAGCTCTTTTCTGGTCGAAAATCTACCAAAATTGTTACAACATCTATCAACATTTAGGAAAACATACACATGCTAAATCTTGTATAATTGTCATGCACTCAGACTGTAAACTTAATTCACATCAGAATGAAAACTTATCAAAAATGAATGAAAGTCTTGCAACTTTCTCCCATAACAGAACGAATAACCCCAATACTTATTTAAGAAAACCTGCGTCAATAAATGCACGACTTTTGTGCCCTTAGATTGTAAGCTTAAATCGAGGGATCTAGCTATTTCATCAGCTTTTGCTTGCGCAGTTCACAGCTGATGAACGTCCAATTGACGAATTGGGTAATCCCGATGACAATTGAAAGAGAACACTGTGCAGGCATCATATAAAAACCTTAAAGCAAAATCACTTCGTAAACAGACAGCAGAAACACGAATAGGCTCTCCAACTATTAACACTGCCGAAAAGTAAACAAGTGCAATGTGCTTAAAAAGGAACTCCATGCCAGAAAATTCACATTGAGCTCATTCACTTGGAGAGTCATTGGCTATGCAAAAAAAAAGAAAAAAAAACGGGAATTATACCGAACACATCGGTATTGATAACAAAAGAAAAAGAAAAGAAATACCAAGGAAAAAAAGATTCAATACAAAAACTATGTCACAGAACTCGGCAGAGATAAGGAGAGAACACAGAAGTACGAAAGCAAAAAAATTAATGAAATACTACAAGAAGTACACGAAGCGTTACTTGGGAAGTGGCCGCGTCAAAAAGAGTTTTTCAGTTCCGGAAGAGAAGATCGGATTTGCAGTGTAGTGCTGGATCAGTGACGCCATGGAAGGAAATGCTCTCGATCCTATGTGCAGTTGGCCACCAATTGTCTGCACCTTGAAGTGCTTATTCCGTTCCACACCTCGCATTGAAATTGACAAATCTCCCGGCTACAAAACATTTTGGGTATAAGCGACAAGTTGATACAGCTAACAGAGCATAATACAATGGAAAACATTATACTTTATTATCTTAACATTTTTATTTACTGCCTACTATAATTTTTAATGGCAGGGTATAATGTGAAACACAACTAAGATCATGCTGAGACATTTGCAAAACTCCACCGCAGGTATCTGCGGTGAGGAACGAACGCGCTGTTGTCCTTTCCGGGGAGTAACGCGTTCACCACTACACCATGAGGGTACGCGTAACCCCCCGGAAAGGACAATAGGGCGTTCATTCCCCACCGCAAATACCTGCGGTGGAGTTTTGCAAATGTCTCAGTATCATCTTAGTTGTGTTTCACATGGTACCCTGCCGTTAAAAATTATAGTAGGCAGTAAATAAAAAGGTTAGAATTGTGATTTCAACTTCAGCCTCAGCTTAACCAGGTTCGTTGGCGATTCGGGCTTCCTAGATCAGCCCCGTTGAAGAGTGATTGTTGATGGCGTCGATCAATAGAACGAGCTGAGAGATAGTCGAAAAGAAAGACCCGCATTGTGTGGCGGTGAATGCGTTACTCCCCGGAAAAAACAATAGCGCGCTCGCTCCCCACCGCAGACACCTGCAGTCCGGAGTTTTGCAAATGTCTTAGCATCAACATTATACTTCATATCAGATACAGTTTTTAGTAACTATTCAAAAACAACAAGGCTGTGAAATTCACGATACGTGGAGGACAAGAAAAAAGGACACAATACAGAACATTTGAGATAACGCTATTTGAATTCTTCCCACCAGTTGTAAAATTCAAATTCTTTAAATGACAAAAAGTCCTTCAATACAGTGGCAAAATCGCTAAAAACTACGCAGCAATTTATGGGACCCTGCCAACGGTTTGCCGCTCCATTGTGGCTGGAAGGCGTTCTTGGGTGTCGGGCTACGATGTACAGTACGGGGATTTATCCCCCTGGAAGTGTTTCCCAAGCTGAGGAGTCCTGCGTTTCCAACAGGAAACGCAGCTAAGAGTAAAGCAATACCAGGATTGGCCACCATCGTGGTACCAAACTAGCCGCATGGTGGTAAATCTCTCTCTAATCCACGTGAGTGCAGACTGTCCGCAGTCGTCACGATCTGGGGTAGACATTTACGAGGCTAACCTCGAGACTCCAGGAAACTACGATAGTTAAACCAGTAAAACTTCGAAGGAATGGAGAATTTGTTGAGGACAGCACAAGCAATGGGGACGGGCCATCCAAGTATCTAAGTTTATGGTACATGGATTCAAATTCCTAGACAGAGTGACGCGTTTCAGGAAAGTTTATTCCCATCTGAGCTCAATAAGTTCACGTACAGGTTAAGCTAACTAGCAAACTTACCTTACCACCATACGCCGGCTATAAAAATTTAGCTGCATGGACGAATGAAAGAACGATTTCAAGTGGCAGTGAAAATAATCGGTGTCGGATCGAAACAAACTGTCTAAGACACATGATGAAGGCCACCTCATCCACTTTATTTGTAAGAATTTGACATCTTGGTAACTGCGATATCTGGTTGAATAAAACGAATTCTCTGCGCGATTGAACGATTTAACCATAATATAGAAAAGAACTTCTAGCCTTCTCCGAAAAGAAGAAACAAGTCCTCTAGTAGGAGAAAAAGAAACGGCAAAACTGTAACCTCCAATTTTATACCAGTACCAATTAGTTCTGCCAATAGTGTTTATAGAAATCACTTGAACTTCACAATTAAAGAATAACGATTAATTAAAGCAATAAAAGAAAAAAAAGCAATCTCATTTCGGATAGTCATTATGGATATTTTCTTCCGCAGCTTGGAAAGTTCTTAAGCTCATAATACATCTACAGCTGCATGACATGACAGCATCACACTCAATTCCTTTCAAGCAACAAATTACATTCGTTTTTTTGCATGACAACATATTACTAAAATGAGTTAAAGGATTCCAGATAAGTGAGGACGACAATCTTGGGAAATGTACTCCGACGCATTAGATTGTGAGTTCAAAAAACTCTGACAAATATCAAACCTGGACTGAGCTCAAACATCTGATCAAGTTGCGTTCCGAAATTAAATCTGCCGTCATGTCTCATCATGCTTCTTTGAAGCACAGTGCAATAAATAAGATGTTAAAGAAACGCGACGAAATGGAGGAAAAATGACAAGAATGCGATTGAACTGAATAAAGACCCTTTTCAGTATTCTACAATATTAAAGAAACTACAGACCATTCTTTTTTCTGTCGTAAGATAAAGCATCATGTCTCCACTTCAACACAACTTCCTACATTTTCTAATCAATTTCAAGAACAGACTGCCTTCTCAAAAACTTCGAAGACACCATTTACTATTCAGTTTTCTAAAACCACACACTTCGAAGCACTATCTGCTTACACTTACAACGCCGATTTACACTTTAAGATTCAGACCCTCGATAAGAATAGCCTTAACGGGACGGCGCTATCACATCTAAATCTAAATTTAGAGGAGTCAAAGGAAATCAATGAGTAAAAGGATAAAGCTCTCGGCTGACCCCGATGGTGTGGTGGTGAAGTGCGCTGCTCCCCGGTAAGGACAACAGCGCGTGTTCGTTCCCCACTGCATACACCTGCGGTCCGGAGTTTTGCAAATATCTCAGCATTTCATACGAGTTATATTTCGCAACATACCCTGCCATTAAGAAGAAAAAGGCAGTAAATAAAAGGGTTAAGATTGCTCTCGGTTTTGTTCAATTCCTGATGGATGTAGCATTCATAGCATGCATTCGACTTTATTAAGCATTGCTGGACGTGAATGCATGCATATCTGGACTTTATAATGACTGACGGTGGCCTACCGAAATATCGAGTCAGTGCTGCTACCTTTAATGTCAAGTATGGTACCAAACTACTGACCCCGAAAGGATAGAAGGTTTGGTGAGTTGCGGGTGCGAGGAGTGATCCCATATGTGTGTTGCAGGGCGCCTCCGATCACTGCGCCACACGCGCCGCTGGACAATAAATGGAATGATGAGGGCGACCATGAAAAGACGCGCTCAAAAAAAAAACTTATATGATTTCCATAAACTAGCATGCTGTAATAAAATTCAAATGCCTCTCCGCTTCCATTTCTCCAGAACGGTAAGTAAACAATTACTAAACAATGAAGGACAAAAAAAACTACTCGTGCCAAAGTAGGATTAAAAGATTTCGTGCGGACTATGGGATACTGTAGGTGCACCCAAGAAAGAAAATATCTCAAAATGGTCGATAGGGATGAACATAGGAACCAAAATGTTTGGTGACAAAACGGAATAGAACACTGAAAAAAATTTAAATAAAATAGTGGCACTCAGAAATGTGCATCCACTGCACCTACCAGTTCGAAAAAAAGATAAAAACCAAAACTAAAAGAATATTTTAAAACTTACGTTACTTTCGCTATCCCTCACAAGGAATTCACCTTCTCGCCCATTAGAAAGCAAACGATCAGCTTCATCACGACTTATTCGACCAAAAAACCACGGTTCTCGATCCATTTGCCCACCAGTTGACGAAGTACCCGTCGACACCACCTTAAAAACAATATCCAAAATCAATAGGATAGAGTACAAAACTCAAGAGTATATAAATAATTTCCATTGAAGGCACTATTAAACAACGCAATGCAACCTATCACAGTAATGCTGGCTTCCTACAGATATTTTGAGTTGTCCTTTAAGGGTGAGATCCTGTTTAAAAGTGGCGGGAAGCTTTATCTTATTAGAACAACGCATACGAAATCGGAAAATAGTATTCGCTTCCCTAGAACTTCCAACTTCAACTTACATTTGTGCCGTTACCCCGCCTTTATAATTAACTATGCTCCAGTTAGTACTTACTCTTTTATTACTTCGTCCACTTTCTTTCTCCTCCTAAATTTTCCTAGAAGTCCAAAATTCCTAAAATGCTTCATCGCATCGTCGTGACTCGGAAATGTTTCTGAGCGTCAAACTACAAAGTAGAGCAGGTTGCTCACCTCTTCAAATAACGAGTAATTCAAGTTCAATAAGCATTTGCACATACAGATACTAAGGAAGGAAAACGACAAATCTGAAACATGAGGAACAACAGCACTTCTGGGTAACTGGGCCTTCGCACGAATGATGAATTACAGGCAGAGTCAACAACTGTACCAAATTTTATTCAGATCCATAAGGCCGGTAGTAACGAATACAGAACGCTTCAGCAAAGCTAATCCAGCATTGTGTGAAAAGTTAACCGTTCAAGTAGCAAAAAGTCAGTCCGAGTACCTTGCGCACTGGGCATTCTCCTCTACGGCATCGAGTGCTAAAACAGCTGGTGACAGGTGATCAAATATTAGGTCGCAAAAGACGTTATTGGGAGCGGATCAAAGCAACGCCCAATCAACAGGCAATGGACAACATTGTTTGCTCTTCAACCATAACACCAACACGGTCTCCTCTAACGTTAATCTTGAGGATTTTTTGAATGTCGCAGGTTGCATTACGTTATCATCATCCACGAGAGACAACAAGCAGGAATATCGACACTCACAATAAACAGACGAGACCTTTGACACACATAGAGGGCACTACGAAATATCTGCGGCTTAGACTGCGTTGGCGCTTTCACAAACTAATATGTCAATCATCACGACTTATAAAACATCTCATTACGATGCTTGGTCATTATTCTTATTAAAAAAAAATTAGTATCAACAACTGACACTTGCCAACCTGGGCAGCTTATGAAAGCAAATTAAATAAAGCTTTAAAAGCTCTCGGCGTTGATCAATTCCTGAGGGATGCGCGATGAATTCGAATTCAATAAGCATCGTTGGAGGCGAATGAGTACATATCTGAGTTTTAGAAGGACTCGCTGCGGTCGAGCGATGTATTAGGTCAGAGCCGCTATACTCCCAGACAAGCTTGATACCAATTTGCCGACCCCGGAGGTATGGAGGGGTTGGGTCGCTGGGATCGATACCATTTGTATTGCAAGGCGCTCCCGACCACTGCACTACATGTAACACAAGCTAATTAGATGTATTCTAAAGTTAGGAGCGGCTCCGTAACGAAAAATCTTCTGTAAAATCGTTGTCTGGTACTTACACGTCAAGTTAGATATGGCCAACGAAAATGAATATAGATTCGCAAAGTTTAGAATAGGAGATTTAAATAAGAGTGAAGACCGCCTTGCTTGACCTTTGTCGCCGATTCGACATGTTCTGTGCATGTTCTCTATCACAATTCCTTTTTTCATAAGAACAAAAAGCCATCAAACATAGAAGTGAGCTAGCGCCACAAGTGATGTTGACAACGATTGCGTGATTAAGTACAGAAGATGATGCCTCCGAGGTGTTATCGTTCCGTACTGTTTCCTATCGCCGCCTTATCTATGCAATGATTCAATTCAGCTGTAAGCTAGAAAACTATTCTCAGCAGTGCACAAAAAGTAAGAGACATATTGTGTAATGAATGACAGATCAACGAACACTCGTCCGAACACTACAAGCCACTTATCGAGTGAATTAAAACTCGTGTCGAAGTCGTCGCAGTTTCTTAAAGAAGAAATTCAAGATGGCATCTTCATTACTAACAGCGGTTGCTCGAGCAAAGAAGAAAACTTAAGCTTGATTATACCACAACACCTAACAATGGTCGATAATAAACGCCAACCGAAAATACTTGCATTAGGATCTACGTCGATGGAAAAAGAAAGAACTGTGGAAGAAGTTCAAAAAGAACCACTCTAAGGAAATGCCATAAAGATTTCAGCGGGTATAACGCTTCACTATTAGACCTAATAAACGAACATGGGATCACGGCTACATTCCTTCACGACATTATTTTATTTTTTGTGCCGCCTATCTTGGTTTATTGTACTGGTCCAAAGCATTTCTTTTATCTGGTTCACTATTTCGCTTCGATCATACAAGAAAGTCATCAAAGTTATGCGTGCGCTCAACTATTATTTGAATATTTCATTTTCTTCATGAATGTGGTTAAATATTACTCAGACGTAAATTCTCCTTGGAACTCCAAAAAATTCCTGCGTTTTTACACACCAAAGGTAGTGGTCGCGCTCCGTGGATTGGCCAGAGATTTTCTTAAAAAGTCTTGCAGGTATATGCCGATCCCGAATGAAACGAGGGAAGGCTAACTTGGCTCGTTGCAGGATCTAACCAGAGAATACGTGAGTACGATATGGCACCTCAAACCACCATGCCTCCAGCGCCCTAGGAAACTGATTAGTAATCCAAAGTTACTGTTGGATGAGAAGCATCCCGTAGGATACTTCGACCATAATCACGAGTTGTGATCACTGAAGAAAATTAACCGAAGCATCTATTTAAGTACTTCCAGATTTGCTTGGTGACGACTGTGCTATCTTCTCATGCAGCCTAACTCACCACTGATTGGAAGATATTTTGAAACTAAACCTGCTAGACAAATGGAATGTCGAAAGAAAATCCTTTGTACGGACCGCACTAAAATGAGAGTGGGATTTTTGGATTTTGAAGGAAATAAGTGGAGCTTTTATTCCAAATTTTGTCGACTCCGAAGAAACGTTCGGAAGTGCCGAGACGAATTTCCACATCAACGAGCGAGAGGACCTACCCCCCTACTTAAGAACTCTAGCTGACTTCTATCGCAGTTGCATCGTGAAAGTAAACCTTTTCTATTGATCCGTCACTATCCTCGTAAAAAAAGGTCCAATAGTGCGAGCACGCAGTGCAATGGGAAATGAAGTCGCTTGATCGAGAAGAAAGGAGGAAAAGAGCGTATGCATTGAGAGAGTGCAGGGTACATGTACCCATGACGTTCAATGAACATTAGCAATGATATGGAAGACGAGCCGTGTGGAACAGAACAACGTTCGGAGCCTACGAGAAGCTGCCGATTAAATAGCGGACCTCAAACTCCATTCTCACCTTTTTAACACCATCCAGCGCTCTACTATGCAGCTAAGACGGCGGTTGACAGTTCAACTACGTAGAAAACTCCGCCGATCAATCAAAGAGCGCTTGAACGATGTCATCTGAAATATAGCTAGCACACACAGCACAAGCGGACCGCGCAGTAGAGATTTTCGAAGACTACCCAAATTTCGAGTGCGAAAGCGAAATAGATGGCCAGGTCATTAATGGAAAGAGGTGACGGAAGACGGGCGAGAAAAACATTAAACTCGAAAAGGACAAAAGCATCATCTAGGGCGATAACCTCTACGATAGACCGAGGTAATTTTGGTTCACGTGAAGCATTTGCATTTGCGGGCAAACTACCACTATGGACAACTGTTGTGCAAGAAAGAAATGAAAGTGCTCTAGGGACCACACAACTCGTTAAAATCAGCAACATCGGCCAAGCACTAAAGTGACTACCATAAATCAAGATAGAGAAAAGTCACCTCAATGTAGTTTTTCGGTACTAGACCCTGCTGACCAACCGAGTTACGTGCTAACCACCAATCTGGGTCGTGTGCGGGATGATCGATTATGTCAAGACGTTCTCCTGTAAATATGGAAAATAATACGTCGAAGTAAACAAAGTCGAAGCTCAATTTTGATAAATTTCAAAGTTTCCAAAAAACCAACACAAAGGAATGTAACGGACCCTTCCTGAATGACAGTTCTTCTGGAGTAGAAGCATCGAAAGAGTAGAGAGCCACAACATACTAAAACCGCAGTGAAATATGTCATATGGAAATGCATCATAAGAAGACGGCATACCTCTAAAATAGTGTTTGCTTGACCCGATGGGACAGGCGATGAAATAATGGTGACGGGAGACTTTCTAACAGTGGAACAACCATTCGAAGCGTCATTTCCATTGCCGCTTGGATGAGGTTGATCCACAATCTCTTCTACGTAGTTCGATGGAAACCATCCTAATCGCCCATTGCTCTTAATATTAATTAAATTATAAATAGGACAAATGCAATAGAACAAAGGCACCAACCAATAATGAGCTGAAATTATGAGATATTATTTAATACATAACGCCAAGAAGCAGTTCTTCAATAACTGACTAAACTGTTTAGAATTACAGACGAGACTTTTCCCAGTGGTATTAAGTGTGTACATATTTTTCAGTGTCCTATGCAACTAAAACACATTTAGAGTAAGGATATTCAAAAAATTGAAGATGAAACCTAGATTTCCGCTTCACCATGTTTACTTGTGATGAGTCTTCGAATTTCTCTAAGCGCCTAAATTTCAGCGCGCTTTTGCAATTCAAAGTTAAAGTGCTTAGTTACCACTTCGGATCAATAACAAAAAAGATAAGCAGGTATTTTCGTAACTATAGGTGAACACGTGAAACAAGTAATAAAAACATGCAAAAACTGACGATTTAATGTTAACAGGAAACGATCTGCATAAGAACCTACTTCTCCTTTCCACCACCCGTCACTACTTTTCTCAACTACTGCTATTGTATCACCACGAGTTAACTTTAGTTCGTCTTCCAGTCGAGGATCATATGAAAACTTCACTAACGCCCGTGACGTCATGCCACCACTCTGAAGGAAAAGCAAGAAAACTGCTTTTTACTCGAAGATCGCTTTAAACAAGAAATATGAAAAAAGCTCTCAACTGCTAGAAAAGTACCTTAAGCGAGTCTGGTGCGCTCTCTTGACCGTTCTTCACTTGATTATTATTACCAATACTAAAGCCAGAATAAGGATCGTGCGCAACCAACGTAGTAAAGGACGGTGACTTTTCCTGAGAAAAAAGGGAAACTTGACTTTACTTTTAAAAAAACACTTAAAATGAACAAAACGGTTAATCTCCAATAAATAACAGATAAAATCTAGTGGAGAAAGTCGATACACGAAGGTTTTACTGGTTCCATCTGGTTTCCTGACGAACAGTTATTGTTGCCACAGAATAAAAAAGATAGCAGTAACATGGGTGAAGGCGAAACGAAGGAACCGCACAGGGTAATAGTGATCGCGTTAACCTCCGAAAAGGGTAATAGCGCTTTCGGTCTCCACCGCAGACACCAGCGGCCCGTAGTTCTGCAGGAATCTCAGCATTTATGGACAAAAAAGATAGTATTCTAAAATTAAGGGAACACAATGACAGTCTCTGTGTAGGGGTCTGCACAAAACATGAGAGAGAAAACTTTCCAAGGAAAAGAACAATGGTGTTCCTTCGAATGCAGTAAACCATGTGGCATGTAGTAATAGCAGGAAAACTCCCACCAATTAACTTTTCGAATAAGAAATAACCAAGTTAAGTAAGGATAAGGAAAAGCAAAAAGTTCTAACGGTGATATAATAAGGAAGGATAAAGCTCTCGACGTTGATCAATTCCTGAGAGATGCGCCATGTATTCGACTTCATTAAGCATCGTTTGGAGGTAACTGAATACACATCTGGCCCTTACAATGACTCGCAGTGGTCTACCGATGTATGGGGTCAGCGATGCTATCTTCCGAGACAATTCTGGTACCAATTTGCCGACCCCAGAGAGATGTAAGGCTTGGTGAGGTAAGGGCGAGGGGATCGATTCCACATTTGCGTTGCAGGGCGCCTCCGACCACTGCGTCACACGTACCCACTGAAAGCGGAGTATTTGAATAAGTGAACTGGCGAGTATATAAAAAAGCAGAACTTCCGCAATCAAGTAATCTTTGTGTGAATGATAAGAGTCGACTGAACTCATCAAAAGAGCATCGCAAACATGATAAGCTGCTGTAAAATCGTTCTCAAGTCCACTTAAATTATCTAACGACTCCCTTATATTCGTCATAATGTCGAAAAAATTCAGTCCTCTAGAAACTAGCTGACAAGGAAAAGGGAAATCGGTCACAGAAACCGTCTGCTTAACATCCTATGATCTTAAAGGCAAATCGATAAACGAACAAAACGTGATTTCCTAACAAGTCCATCTCTCTCAAATTCACAAATCCACTTAAATTCGACTCTCTTTCAAAATCCCAACATTGGTTACAATCTTAAATGTGCTTAGAAATCGAGGATCGATACGACATGAGGCCGAAAGTGCACCGAGAGCGCTGAAATAAAAAGAGCAGATACAGCTGAAGCGACAGCACCAAGACCGGATCTAGAACAAACTTCTAGGGCAAAGATGACCTCAGAAATATTGAGAATGTAACTCATTAATCAATCTCTGCATGACGAGTGGCAATTTGGTTGTGGTCGGACTACTATCACAAGTAGCACATTCCATCCCAAGCAGGGAGCTCTGCTAGAATCTTACACCACTGGTCACAAAAGGTACGTGAGGGCGGGCTTTAGCCGCATGAGTGAGCTAACACCTTCTTTACCTTGCTCAATGAACTATAACCGGGTTTTGGCGCATTACTGGGACCCACAAAAACTTCTAAATGCAGGTTTGAGAAAAGTTAAAGAATGAAGAGAATGCTACATGGAACTAATTCAAATTCGAAAATCGAAGCGAAAGGCGTTTGTGCCTGCGCGTTTTATCATCGCGCTATTGTGGTCAATACGGTGCACGACTTAACGTTCAGCACGTGTTTGTTCAGTGCCACAATAACCCGCAAACTATGCCAGATAGTCAGAGTTAAACATATTGGCTGAAGAATAATGCACGAAATGAAAACCTCCAAAACTTGCCGGATCAAAGTCTGGAGCTCGTGGACGACCTTTTGTAAAGCCTTTTATTGTACCCTTTGCTTTATCTACCAAAGATTCACGTCGAACGTAGTTTGACGGCACAAATCCCACATTGTTCGCGTCATTGATAACCTAATATAAAGAGAGATAGAGATAAAGCAGAGCAAAACGAAAAGAAGTAAGGTAGAATTAAGCGTTTACTTTCCACCAATTCTTGCTATCGTCAATAAGACGAAGGCGTTCGTTCTTCTTAATCGTCAGTTCTTGGTCTTCTTGAGCCAAATAGTCATACTTGACAATGACGTATGAAACATCGTCGGACATGACGTCACGTCACTTCGATGACCGACTGGACGTCGTTGAAAGACTGCAAACAGCAAACAGTGAAAAATACGGACACATCGACTCGCAAGAAACATGAACTGAGTACATCAGAACAAAATTGAAGATCGAAGAAAATGAACCCCACAGGCCGCGACATGAATCAGCTGTTTCGAGCAGCCCTAACATATTACATTGACTGGACTCCTCTAAGAAGCACGAAAAAAGCTGAGCAGAGTGATACTAGACTAGTAGAGTGCTATCGAATCATAAAAAGACCAACTAAACAAGGCAGTACATCAAGTAGCAGTATTCTGCTGTACAAAAGGTATCGAACAGCTGCGGATAGAAGGAATAGGGCGTTGTTATGCATATCGATCGAAGGGAACGTTGAGTGGGAGGGAAATGCAGCACTGAAAGGCGAAGAGAGAACGTACTTGCCCAGTAATAACATACGTTACAATTAATATTAACGTCACTTGTGAACTAAGTCTAACTAACTTTCAATCGATCAGTAGGTATTGGTGTCATTAACGGGCTCTTAGTGATATCGCGGCGGCGTAACGGACAACGAAACAAAGTAACAGCACTTTTGGAGAAAGCAGTACTAGCAGTACTACCTTCTTAAGTAAAAAAAACAACCATCAGTCCCGAGACATAAGAGAAGGTTAAGTATAACGTGGTGCTAACGTAGTGCAGTTTGTCGTAATACATTGCGTCAATTCTGTGATGTAGGTACGCGTTGCGGAAGGTTGCCATCATTTAGCGTCAGTCCGGAAATCCTGAGTGGTCGAAAACCCTCAGAGCTGATATTGGTACTGACTGGTCGCATGATAGTAGCGATAGATTTTTTGTGAGACGTCTTCGTCAACAAACGTGTCAATAGAGGCACGAATGGGTCTACTCTATGAGAAAAGGCAGTACACGAAATTGGAACAGTATGTTTAGAAAGAGCATTACATTATGTAAAATTACTACGGAAGATTCGGGGGGAGGATAGCAGAGTGGTAGTGATGTTTGTCATCACGAGCCTGATTCTAGTTCGATTCCGCTCCTGGCCAACCAAAGTTGTCGTAGCCTCGAGGTCGGGAAATTAGTAGCGGAGTTGTCTGGAAAAAATCGCTTTCTGCAATACAATCGGGAACGCTCCAGCCCGGTTATCCCAGGACTCCAGGGAGAATCGACTCGACCAGCATTCTACGGCATTCAAGATGAAACGAAAATCCTCAAGCATTAGCGAAAACCCACACCTAGAAGTTGGAAGACCTTTGTGGATGACATGCGGGGAAACGAATCGAATGTGAGAGGTGCTCGGATCCGCACAGTAGACGTGAAAGAGGGGCCATATGAAATAAAGGATAAAAAGACTAATATGGAGAAGGTAATGTAGGAATACGTCAAATTCTTACTGAGACCTTGCGGATTTTACACTGTTTTCTTCCAGACGTTAAGCGAACATATGTTGTGTTGAAATTGTGCGCTAAGCAAACACTGAACACACACGCATATGTGCAAATGAATGATTTGTTATTGTGCAGTTTTTTAAACGAGAAACATTCTAGTTTAGTAGAAAAAGCGAGCAGATGGTAGGTAAGACGTAGAGTGGATACAAGTAAAGGAACCGCAATGATCACCCGTATCATCGTCGCCACCTGCAATTCCGTCAGTTGCCAACTTAGCCGAATGAGCATCATTGAATTCTTCATTTGCATCCGTTTTTATTTGAGATCCTCTAGGACTTCTGCTAATCCGAAGAACGCGAAGAATATGAAATTTTTTACCTGCTATTTGTAGACATGAAGGCAGTCGTCAGTAGCGCTATAATAGTGAACTTACTCAGTCACACGCCCAGCCCAACCTATTCAGGCCATGGTTTGACTCCTCCTCAGACCCACCAAGCCACTGATCGTAGCCGGGAAAGTGATAGCAGATTTGTATGAGAGATGCTTACTCACTCCAATCTACGTGGAAACGGCATCGGATCGCTCTCTCCGGGATACCAAGGAGAAACGGCTAAATCAGCATTTGTGATGAAGACGAAAAATCCTCAAGCATCACCTGAAATTCCACGGAAAGAAGTCCAAAGACCTTCGTGGGTGGTGGATGCGAGGAAATATATCGAATGCAAGTATTCGAAGTGCTGGTATTCGCGCAGTCTGATACGCATGATGTTGGGCCACGTAATAATGTAATAGTGGAAATATTTTCTAGATATCTAATCTCTCACAATCATTGTGCAATTGCCAAGTTCGAAAGATCCTCAATCAACAACCACGATCGCATGGTCAAAGTAAATACATTAGCGGGATTGCTTTATCTCTCCTTTTGAAAGCACTAACATCAAATCCTCTGTACTCTTTGTAAAAAAATGAATAATATTTCGAACGCATTGTCTCCGTATGATCTATTCCCACTTAAATTTTTCCATGCAAATCGTCCAACTCGGACAGTACGCGATCCTCTTGTTTAGTACTTAGCATGACTTCCACAATATATGAACAAAGAGAAAGTGGTGAGTTGTCAATCGTTTACCTCCACTCTATCTACTACTGTTTTCGTGTCATCTGCGGTAAGAAAGAAGCGAGATGCCTGTAAGAGTCTGCTATGGCATAAGTTGGCCGTTTGTTGAGCTTTAGGTCAGATACCGAACTCATTCACAATTGGAATGACCAAGGGGCGTGATGAGCCGTTTACAAGCCAAGTTTCGGAACCCGCTGAGATCCTATGAGGTAGTGAACTACTAAGTGGATGAGGAAAGTCGATAACTAATTATTGCATAAAAATTCCCACCTAGTTTAATATCCATGACACCTAAAATATCTAGCTTTCAAACATCCATGTTAAATTCATACTTCTTTAGTTAACCAACAAAATCACCTAGAATCAAAAGCAACTGTTCACTAGTAAATATGCATTCCTGTGTATATTTGGCGCTCTCCAAGAATCCAACTGTCGGTTATTAACATGAAGATGCTGAATTTAGAGCTTTCATTTCAAAAGTCGAAATGTCACACCAAATTTGTGTAACACCTAGGAAGCCGTTGAAAGCTGAACAGCGAGAGGATGAAGAGCTTTACTGGGTTGAAACACGGCTAGAATTTTGATTAAAAGAGCCATAATGAACGAATGATGTTTTGTTACGTGGGACATTCACCGTTATTAGACCCGTGCCGTACAGGAGTAGTACCCAGTCGTAATTTCTATTCACATCTGCTTTGAAAATTTACAGTCAGTTGGTAGCAAATATGATGACAATGTCTGCTTCACCGCTTATCATCATGCTAAACGTTGTCTGATTCAAGGAAGTCTCAGCGTTGGCGAGGGCCGTGGTCCTCTTTGAGTTCCCTTAAATGCGATACTCCAAAGATCCCTCTTCAACAAGTACCAGAGACTGTTCATGGTGTCCTTATCCCGTTTATGTATTTCCCATCCTTTCAAAATGGATACCAAAAATCTGCGAAAAAATCATTCAGTAAAGCAAGTAACAAGTTGAATGGCAAAAACTGCATGATAGCAGAGAGAATCGGCTCCATCGCAAGCGCATTAGTCACAGCACCAAAGATTCTGCACGTGCACAACGTAAGAACGAAGAAAAGATCACAATTTCCACTTATGTATGCCAAACATAAATCACACGCGTTTCCATGACGACATACAAGAATAATGTCTTTAACGAAATAATAACGCTTATTGGAAGATGAGAATGTATACATTCGTGCTGCAGAAGCGTAAGTAAACTGTAAAGTAGCCTATTACAAACACCATCTCAATGCTGATCACAACGAAGTCAAACTGAGTGTGTTAATTGTAAATGCAGTGCAGTGAGTTATTAAGAGATCATTATTTCTTTACCATTACGTCAAGACAAGATGTTCGCTTAGTTGAAGAACTGCGAGACGAATGATAAACATTATGCTCGGTTCCCAGGATCGACTTTCTCTTAACCTCGGCAATGGAATATGAATGTGTCGCTTTCTTGTTCAGCAATCGCGAGGTTTTTAAACAGCATACATTTACTTCCATAAAAACACAATAGAATACAACGCTAGCTGACGTTTGACGAGTCGCCAACCACATGCGACTATAATCAGCTGTTCTAAACTTCCTCATTGGAAGTCACGAAAAAGCGGTATTTCGAGAAGTTGTTGATCGTGTAATTACCAAAGAGTCTTTCGTCTTTGTGTAAGTGTTATTGAAGCGTTTGGCCTAGTAGATTGTATATCAGTATACCCTTCCAGGCTCTGAAGAAGGCGATACTGCCGAAACGTCAGCTAGCGTTGTATTGTATTGTGTTTTTACGGAAGTAAATGTATGCTGTTTAAAATCCTCGCGATTGCTGAACAAGAAAACGACACAAAACCATTTGTACTTCTTTGAAAGCCTTTGATATGCGTTTTTTTTAGATTACATTTGTGAATATCTTGTAGAGCACAATGATCAGGTTACCCAACTTGCAGTTGTAAGCATATTCTCGACCATGCAAGACTCTGTGTAACTGGTCTTTACCAAAGAACTGGAAGACTTACAAGGAAGAAAACGGTTCCGGTGAAAGCAAGACCGCCGAGAAGGACTTCGATTTTGGAATTTAGTGACTTTTTCTCCTTTCGGCGAGAAATAGAATTTTGCACGAAGGAGACGATGCTCTGATCCTGTGTAGAATTTCGAGACAACGGCGACATCGGTTAGGCAAAACCTTCTATTTACTATGATGTGGTCTATTTGGTTATGGTACTCTCCACTGGGAGACTCCCACGTCCAGTGCTAAGGGTGGGAGCTCTGGAATTGCGAGGTTCCATAAATTGTTTTGGTCTCCATGATAAACTCAGACAGCAGCTCACCCTGTTCGTTCCATTCTAATCTATGGGTTGCAATGTGACATTCTTCAGACGTTCTTCTTGGACCAGTCTTCGCGTTGAAATCTCCAATGATGACCTTGAAGAATATATAATCTCTTGTGTAGAACTTTTCCAGTTTCTCAAAGAGCGCTTCGACTTCTTCTTTGT